ATTAAATGTCCCAATCAAAAGACATAAGATAGCTGAATGGATAAGAAAACATGACCCATGCATATGCTGCCTACAAGAGACCCATTTCAGAGAAAAGGACCTCCACAGACTGAAAGTAAAGGCATGGAAAAAAATATTCCAAGCAAAAGGGCAGGAAAAAAACGTAGGGGTGGTAATACTTACATCAGACAAAATAGATTTCAAAACAAAAGCCATAAAAAGAGACCCTGAAGGACACCTCATAACACTCAAAGGAAGAATCCATCAAGAAGACATAAACACTGTAAACCTATATGCACCCAACATAGGAACACCAAATATATAAAGAAAATCTTGGAGGACTTCAAGAAAGATACAGACAGCAACACACTGATAGTACGGGATTTCAACATGGCACTGTAAACAATGGATAAATCTTCCAAACAAAACATCAACAAGGATATTGTGGCACTGAACACCACATTAGATTAAATGGACTTAACTGACATATACAAAACCTTTCATCCCAAAGAACCAAATTACACATTCTTTTCAAATGCACATAGAACATTTTTAAGATAAACCACATGGTAAAACACAAAGCAAGCCTCAACAAATTCAAGAAAACTGAAATCGTAACAAGCATTTTCTTGGACCACAAGGACTTGAAACTGGAAACCAATCTCAAGGAAAAAACTCAAAGACATTTAAACACATGGCGACTGAATAGCATGCTATTAAACAATGAATGAATCAATAATGAGATCAATGAAGAAATCAAAAAGTTTCTGGAGACAAATGAAAACACACAACAGTCCAAAACCAATGGGACACAGTGAAGGCGGTCCTGAGAGGAGGTTCATAGCAATACAGGCCTACCTAAAAAAGACAGAAACATTTCAAATAAACAACCTAACCCTATGTCTCCAAGAACAGGAGAAACAACAATCAACACAGCCCAGAGTGAGTAGAAGGAAGGAAATAATCAAGATTAGAGCAGAACCAAATGACACAGAGACTAAAAGAACAATTCAAAGGATCAATAAATTCAGGAGTTGATCCTTTGAAAAGAAAATCAAAATGGACAAAACTTTAAGCAGGACAAAACTCTCATCAAGAAAAAAAGGGAAAGGACCCAAATAAATAATATCAGAAATGAAAGAGGAGAGATTACAAATGATATCACAGAAATACAAAGGATTGTAAGAAATTACTGTGAACAATTACATGCCAAGAAATTTGAAAACCTTGGTGAAATGGACAAATTTGTAGAAAATATAATCTTCCAACACTGAATGAAAAAGAAGCAGAAAGCCTGAACAGACTGATAAACGCTGGTAAAATTGAAGCAGTAATCAAAAAACTCCCTGGACTGGATGGTTTCACAGGAGAATTTTACAAAATATTTAATGAAGAGCTAACCCCTGTCCTCCTCAGACTAGTTCAAAAAAAATCCAAGAAGAGTGAAGACTCCAAAACTCTTTTTATGAGGCTAGCATCATCCTAATCCCAATACTAGGTAAAGACACAACAGAGAAAGAAAACTACAGGCCAATATAGCTGATAAACATAGACGCTAATATTCTCAACAAAATATTTGCAAACTGCATCAAGCAATACATTAAAAAGATCATCTACCATGATCAAGTGGGATTCATCCCAGGGGTGCAGGGATGGCTCAATATTCACAAATCAATAAACATAGTACATCACATGAGAAAAAGGAAAGACAAAAACCACACGACCATATGAATAGATAAGGAACAAGCATTTGATAAGGTACAGCACCCACCTACGATAAAAACAACATTCAGCAAAGTGGGATAAAGGGGGCATATCTCAACATAATACAGGCCATACATGAACACCTACAGCCAACATCGTACTCAATGGGCAAAAACTAAAAGCTTTCCCACTAAGATTGGGAACAAGACAAGGATGCCTGCTTTCACCACTCCTATTCAAAATAGTTTAGAAGTCCTAGTGAGAGCGGTCAGACAAGAAAAGGAAAATAAAGGTATACAAATTGGAAAGGAGGAAGTAAAACTGTCATTGTTTGTAGATGACATGATACATAGAAAACCCCGTAGAGCCCACCAAAAAACTATTCAACCTATTAAGTGAATTTGGCACAACAGTGGGATACAAAGTCATTTTCAGAAATCGAAGGCATTTTTGTACACCAACAATGAAACATCAGAGTCAGAAATCAGGAAACAAATGACATTTGCTATAGCAACAAGAAAAATGAAGTACCTAGGAATAAACTTAACCAAGGAGGTGAAAGACCTTTTCGCAGGAAACTATACATCACTGAAGAAAGAAATTAAGGAATACACAAATAAATGGAAGCATATACCGTGTTCATGGATTGGAAGAATTAACATCATCAAAATGTCCATACTACCCAAAGCAATTTATAGATTAAATTCAATCTCTATTAAAATACCAATGACATATTTCACAGAGAATATTCAAAAAACTTATATGAAACCATAAATGAACCCGAATAGCTGCAGCAATTTAGAAAAAGAAGAACAAAGTAAAAGGGATCACAATACCTGATGACAAACTATATTACAAGGCCACTGTAATCTAAACAGCCTGGTACTAGCATAAGAACAGACACGGAGATCAACGGAACTGAATAGAAAGCCCAGAAATAAACCCATGTCTCTACGGTCAATTAGTATTTGACAAAGGGGGCAGATGCATAAAATGGAGTAAAAACAGCCTCTTCAACAAATGGTGTTAGGAGAGCTGGACAGCTACATAGAAAAAATGAAATTCAACCACCAACTTATACCATACACAAAAATAAACTCAAGATGGATAAAAGACTTAAATATAAGTCATGACACCATAAAAGTTATAGAGGAGAACATAGGCAGGAAACTCTCAGATATCCCACGCAGTAATATTTTCACAGATATGTCCCCTAGAGCAAGGGACATAAAGGAAAGAATAAACAAACGGGACTTCATCAAAAGAAGAAGCTTCTGCATGGCTAAAGAAATCATCAGCAAAATGAATAGGGAAACAACTGTATTGGAAAATGTATTTGCTAATGATACCTCGGACAGGGGTATGATCTCAAAATAATCTAAAGAACTCACACAACTCCACTCCAGGAAGATAAACAATCCAAGTAAAAAATGGGCAAAGGACCTGAACAGACACTTCTCCAAGGAGGACACACACAGGGCCCAGAGACATATGAAAGGATGCTCATCATCACTCGCCATCGGAGAAATGTAAATTAAAACCACAATGAGATACCACCTCACACCGGTCATAATAGCCATCATAAACAGATCAACAAACAACAGGTGCTGGCAAGGCTGTGGAGAAAAGGGAACCATAGTGCACTGTCGGTAGGAATGCAGACTGGTGCAGCTACTGTGGAAAAGTTTGGAATTTCCTCAAAAAGCTAAAAATGGAACTGCCTTTTGAACCAGCGATTCCACTGCTGGGATTATACCCTAAGAATTCCAAAACACCAATTCAAAAGATCTATGCACCCCAATGTGCATAGCAGCACAATTTACAATAGCCAAGTGCTAGGAGCAACCTAAGTGCCCATCAGTAAATGAGTGGATCAAAAAACTATGGTGCATTTACACAATGGAATACTACGCAGCAGAAGGAAAGAAAAAGCTCCTACTCTTTGCGACAGCATGGATGGAACAAAAGAGCATTTGCTAAGTGAAATAAGCCAGGGGGTGAAAGACATATACCATATGATCTCACCTATAAGTGGAACCTAATCAAGAAAACAAACAAACAAGGAAAATACAACCAGCAACATTGAAAGATAAAAAACTGACAGTGGCATGAGGGAAGGAGGGCAGGGTACAGGGGAAAGGAAGGGGAAGGGTCAAATCATGGAACATGCATAAAGGACCCATGGACAAAGCCAAAGTGGGGCAGGGGAAAGTGGTGGCAGGAAAATGGAGACAAATGTATTTGAACAATAGGGAGGGAGGAAAGAAAACGCCAAGATCAGTAAACTGAAACAGAACTCTCATAGGAAAGACCACGTGCTATCTACCAAGCCTTCATCCATCAGGATGACAATGCCATAAGAACAGAGACCCCTTGTCAATTTTCAGGTAATTGTGATGGATTGCCTGCCATAAGCCAGGCACAATAATGACATGGATTTCCAAGATCAACAGCTAGAACGGAAAAGGCCATTTCAATCGAAGACATATCCCTGTGAGTGACAGCAATAGCTAAGTAGCAGCTAGTAGTTTCACTTTTGTGGTGTCACAAAGTAACTTCCAAAGAGCAAATTAGCCGTAACCAGTATGGCTCCATTGGTTGGGCTTCATCCTGCAAAGTGAAAGGTTACCAGTTCCATTCCCTGGTCAGGGCACATGCCTGGGTTTCAGGTTTGGTCACCAGTCAGGGCATGTACAAGAGGCAATGAATCAATGTTTCTCTCTCGCACTAATGTTTCTCTCCCTCTCTTCCCCTCTCTCTAAAAGTAAATAAATAAAATCTTTTTTTAAAAGTAAAAAAAAAGAACTAAACATTAGATAGCAAGTAATAATATTAAAGGACAAAAAAAAAAAAAAAAACCCCCAAAAACCAAAGTAATGTACTTTTGAGTTGAGAAGCCATTGAAATGCAAACTAAACAAAAATAAGGGATCAGACTAAATGAAGCCTACAAGGTAGAAACATTTCTAGCAAAGGAAAGAGGGTGCCAAAAGATGAAGACTTTTCGAGTATTGCCCAAGCGAGATCCATCGTTCCCAGCAACCATTTTGTGTTTTCATGTCACGTGTCATAAAAGATCAACAAAGACATTACTCAGCCACATTTTATTTACATGATTACACACCACAAGGAAAAAAAATATGTTCAAATTCTAACTTTTGGGTTTTACACTCAGAATATTCAAATATGCACTTTTTGAATATTCAAACACACACTTTCAGAACTGAAAGAATTCTTGTCTTCTGCTCAAAAGCCACTTCTAAGACATATGGTAGAGAGATGTGTGATTTCACTTACTTGCTTTCTTATGTAGTAACTTGTGAGTAGCCCAACTTCCTTTAAAACATTCCTAAAAGAGTAAACATGAAAATTAGTGTCAGAACTTCCTTAATTAGAAACATATTAAGGAATGATGTATATAAGGAACAGTTATTAAGAATTCCATTTGCAAAAGACAAATCTCTGACTTCACTAAATGTTGAGAAAAGTTCAAGAAATGACACCTGCTTAAAAATTCATTTCAAAAAGCAACCTAAACTTTAGATTACTTCAAATAAACAAGAAACATTAGCCTGTATTGTAAATAGCAATCATAGTTAACATTTCAATTTTATATAACCAAATTATTTTGACGTACTTTTTAATATCATGAGCCAATTAATCATTTTTAAAAAAGACAAGGAAAATGGTGCAGATTCTTCTATTACTCATAGTAGCTGGATTCTGTGTCATACCCACTTTGTTCACTACGTGCTGACAGCCCTACCAGACTGAGCTCCATGGAGGAAGTGTCCGTGTCAAGTTTACCAATATGCCCCCAGAGCCGGGTGGAGGGCCTGGCACATGACAAAGCTTCAGCAAGTACTTGCTGATAAGTCAAACGGCTGAATGACTAGAAAGACTAAGCTTTCCATTTAGCATTTAGGAAAATATGTTCATGTAACATATTTTGGATACCAGCAAGAAGCACTGAACTGAAAAAATAAGTTCAAAGTAATAAATTCAATTAAAATAACAAACTCAAGCAATATATATTATTTATGCTTTGATTTTTAGAGTCTCTCCTTCAAAGAATTTAAAATTACTCATATGCAGTAGTGCCCCTTGTTACAGTTTCACTTTCTGGGTTTCAGCTGCCCGCAGTCAATTGCAGTCCAAAAACATTAAGTGAAAAAATTCCAGAAATAAAACAATTTTTAAGTTTTTAATTGTGCTCCACTCTGAGTAGCACGATGAAATCCTGTGCAGTCCCACCGAGGACATGCATCATCCCTGTGTCCAGTATATCCACACTGTTCACCTGTTAATAACTCAGTGGCTGTCTCAGTTCTCATATTGACTATCACAGTATCACAGTAATTGCGTGAAGTTACCCTTACTTTACTTAATAATGGCTCCAAAGCACAAGAGGGATGCTAGCAATTTGAATATGCCAAAGAGAAACCATAAATTTATCATGAGTATATATGTATTAGAAAAAACATAGTATAGGTAGGGTTCAGTATTATCCACGGTTTTAGGCATCTACTGGAGATCTTGGAACATATCCTCTGCAGATAAGGGGGCACTAATGTAAATCATTACAAATACTAAGAAAATTCACGAAGTCCTACGAATGTTTTGACATTGCAAACATAAACGAGTAAGTCATAGATAAAAGCTAAGAAAAAATAGAAAATAAAGCATCCCTAGGATTATGTAGAAATCAGAGCACATCACACCAATGATGCTAGGCTACTCTCCCTAGTTTTACCCCAGGCCTCTGAGAGATTAATTTTTCCCTCCAGGGCCAGGATCTCCACTATTTCCCCTTTACTCACCTTGTATACTCACAGCTTGCAGCAGTTAAGTCAAGAAAACCCAGGTCATATCTATTTCCTCCTGCTACAACGTCAATAGACTTCAAATGTATAAACAGCTATCCATGACATCCTTAATTTTTTTCATTTTTGAAGCTAAAACCGAGTTCAGTCTTTTGGGGAGGATGGGAGAGGTGGTGGACAGAAAAATGGTGCCCCAAAGATGTTCATGTCCTAATCCTCAAAACCTTCGACTATGTCAGGTTATGACCACAATAAAGGGGAATTAAAGTTGCTAACCAGCTCACCTTGAGATGGGGAGATTATATTGTCTTATCTAAATGTAATCACATTTATCCAATGTAATCACAAGTATCTTTAAAAAGGTAGAAGAGGGAGTTAGGAGTCGGAGAAATATGAAATGATAGAAGTCAGGTCAGAGATATAATTACATTACTGACACTGACGATACAGGAAGGGGACCATGAGCCAAGGAATATAGGCAGCCTCTGGAAATTGAGAAGGGCAAATAACAGAGTCTCCCTAGAGTTTCCAGAAAGGAATGCTTACCTCCCAATACCTGAGACCTGTGTCAGACTTCTGACCTACAGAACTGTAAGATAATAAATCTGTTGCTTTACGCCATCAGATTGGTGGTAATTTGTTATGGCAGCTACAGGAAGGAAAAAAATTATCCCTACCTATTGTCAAATGACAAAAACCACTCAACTAGTTTCTCTTCATCCCAGAGTTATAGGAAATTGGTAGAAAAACAAATATTTATGCCACTGAGAGGGCTACTCTGATTAACTGAAAAGTCCAAAGAACTAAAATAAGCGATTTCATAAGTATTACCACATCTACTACAGAATAAGAAAGAAAAAGTCAATGTTGATCTATAATACGAAAATAACCATAAGCCACTGTTTATTGAATAGGTGCACTGCACACCAGTATCTCATTTTATCCTCACAAAAATTCTGCAAGGCAGAGGACATTATCCCCATTTTAAAAATGATAACACTGAAGTAGAAAGAAGCTTGACAACCACATAACAGAACCATACCTGGCAGAACTAAGACTCAAACCCACATTACCACTGTAGAAATGATGCTTTCTAACTGCTTTACAATGTGTGGATGGGTAAGTATGAAGGGTATGTGTGTGTGTATGCAATTCAAAGCATCAATTCAGCACTAAACTTATAACCAGAAAATGTAGGTGCGATTAAGCTCGCCCATGTATTAGATACAGGGTTGCAAGCTCTACAACAGTATCATTAAATCTAGAAAATGATATTAACCATTCTCATGGATCCTCAGTTGCCCCACCTATAAAGTGGGGTTGATATCTCCAGAAGATAACATAGCAGACTACAAGAAATGGTGTAAATGACCTATTTAGTAGTGACAAAGTGTCTAGGACACAGCAAATATCAATCTATGGGAGCCCTTGACATCCCAGTGCTTATCACTATGCCTGGAACTGAACAGGTTTCCTCAATATATGTTGGAGAATGAATAAAGATCAACATGATCACATACACAAAAGTCTTCTAATTGTAGGTGGAAATGTAAACTGTGTTCATTACTTACTGGGACAGACTGCAAGCTGCCTGCTCTATAGCCATTCTCCCTTTTCCTTAACACCAACAGAATTCTCCTAGTGAGTTGTAATGTGCCCTGCTAAAAACATTCCCAGGCTCCTTACTTATACAGGTATGAGATCTAGTCAGTACATCAAAATGTAAGTCTAGTTGTTGGGCACGGCTCCTGGAAAGCTTCTTAGAAAACAGTCACTATTTTCTACTCTTCGCTCTTTCTCTGGCTTCAAACAGGGAGATGCAGCCTGACAAAGCAACACGCACACCCCAAGAGGCCTGAGTCCCTAATGACTCTAGACAGAGACTGGAGTCATGCAGTAAAGCCTCTGGATGGGGCACAGCCTTGCCACCACCTTGATTTACGAACAATGAAGCTGATTTTTGACTTCTGGATTCCAGAACTGTGAGAGCATAAATTTGTTGTTTTAAGCCACTCAATTTGTAGTGATTTGCTACAGCAGTCACAGGAAACTAATACAGTAACTGGCCAGACATCAGGGCACACTGAAGAATGAATTGAATTAATGACTACACTAAAACGGGGTGAACTAATTACAGTCTTTCTGATGCTTTTTCCACTTACTTGTACATATTTATGGAGTCAACTCCCAATTATTCATGGTTACTTATAAATGGGGGCAAAGGCACATGACTTACTGCAAGAAACCTAACTTCAGCCAGCAATTTCAACTTTTTTTTCCTTCCCTTTCCAAGATATTCCTCATCACAGATATGACTGGCAAAAAGGATATGGCACACTGGATTTTCACTTTTTTCCTTCTTCCAGGCTAGTCTATTGCAAAGATGTTTATGGCAGTAAAGGAAAGATAAGAGAGGGAGAAGAAAAGAAGTAAAAGGAGAAGTTCAAAGTAGGTTGTAGAACTTCAGTTTAAGAGTCTCTCAGGCTCAGAGGCAAAATCCCACCACAGCAGAATGTGAGGGGCACCACTCCTCTTCACTTCATAGCCTTAACTGTAATGTTTCCTTACCCAAACTATACCAACTACACTTGGTACAATTTCCAATTCATTTTCATGTCTACTTAGAACAAACCAACTAAATGTCTGTCCACTGAGAACTATGTAAGGCTAAAGTGGTTTACACATCTCTTAGGTAGGATCTAGCAACCAACATTGTAGCACCACTCTGATTAGTCTTCCCTGAAAAAATTAAGGACCGATTCTTAGCCCAACACATACACCTCCTTACCCAAAATCCTACACTAGTCCAATTGTTAGGTAAGCACTGGCAAAGTTCGTACCCTCAGCCTGTCAATACCTTTTCTCCTGCCATCACTGAAATTAGAATACAAAGAAGCAGAAGACCATGAGAAATGAAAAAAAAAACTATGTCAAGAACAATATAGAGGTGACATCTGGACAGAGCAGGGTTAACGTAGATGACCTTTTAGATACTTCTCAGCTTCACAAGCCTGTAATCCCATTTTACAAGTAATTATGGAAGAGATGACAAGTTATTAGAAATGCTAAAATGGCACTAGAAATGAGTATCTCAAAATAAAGTTAGGAAAAATCTCCCCCAAATGGTGAGCAAAATTACAAAAAGTTAAAAATAAAGAGATGGTATTTTTGAAACAGAGGACTAAACCAACAAGTCTAACATCTGAATAAGGAAATTTCAGAAAGAAAATGGAGAGGAGCAATTAAAGAAACAACACAAAGTTTTCCATAACTGAAAGACAGGAGTTTCCAGATGGAAAAGACCATCGAAGGATGAAAATCAACTTGCCCAAGGCATTACACTATGAAATTTCATAATACCATGAACAAGAGAAGATCCAATAAGCTTACAGAGAAAATGTAAGAAATAATATGCAAAAGATTATGAATCCCAGTGACATCGGACTTTCATAACATAAAAATTCTGAGAAAACCACTTCCAAACTGGAATTCTATTCGCAAACTGAAATTCAAGTGTCAGGGCACA